TTATTTTTGATTTAACCCAAGGCGACTAAAAAGGTTCAAATCACAAGACTCAGATTTTCTGTCCTGGCCGGTTTTGAGTTTTGAAATAGATAGATACTTTCGGAACCAGCCCATCATTCCAAATACACTACCTTGTTTGACAGCAATCCTTAGCCAACCAAGATATTTCATTTCGCTGCCTTTCGTCATCTGAAACTTTAATTTCCCATTCAGCCCAGTTTAGCTCCGCCAAGTCATTCCATCCTCTTCAAGAAAGAAAAACCAAAAAACGAAGGAAAACAAAGAAATAAAAGGAAAAAGAGAAGAGCAAGGAAAGATGGCACTCCAGAGCCCTTTCGTGCTCCCCCCTCTCTCTCGCACACTTTGCTAGTTCATGTGCTGTAATTCTTTAGCGTACATGGACAGGGAGCCTCTTTTTATTTTTATTTTTTTAATAATAAAAGATCAATTTTATGAAGTGAAGAAACACTAGGAAATGAGGAATGAACACAACATCGGTTCTAAAGTAATTGATCAACTCGATTTATGTTATTTTAATCGCCACAGCTCAGTAGATAAATGGTTAAGGTAATTTGGACGTAGCTTTAAGTGGCAATTCCTAAAGAAAGGCATGCGGCCTGTCCTTCTTAGATCCACGTCAGGGGAGAAACAGGGATGTCATGGATCGTCCACCCTGATTAATTTAATCGGTCCACAACGGCCCATAACGATCAAGATAATGGCAATTAAAGATAATGGTGACATATATGGATTCAAATTAAAGGTGCAGTGCGCCACCTTGGATCGTGATTGGCAGAGTCAAATCCGCAGGGGACAAGACAAGGATAATTAAACAAATAAAGTATTAGTACATGAGATTAAAGGTACATCGGTTTATCTATCTACCAGCCAAAAAATTGCATGCCCACCAAACTGTCAAGCATGCATGTACATCCGCCTCCTCTCTCCCTCCCTCGGTGTTCTTTCTTCTCTTCTGCATTTTGCAGATTCGTTTCAGTAACTTCTAGGCTCCAGTCTTCCCTGATAGTAATTATCAGAAACTATATATCATGTCGGTAAAAATGAGATAGTCCAGAATATTTTTATGACGACTTAATAATGCGCGGCCGGTGATAACAAATGAAGAATGCATGGCCTGGAAGAATAAATTAAAGGGCCGATATCAATATGTAGTACAAGAATATAAACGTGATGGAGGCCCGTGCGCGTTTTTAAGCAGTGGAGAAACAAGTGGAGAGGGACAGAGGAAGAGGAGGAGGAGGAACAGTAGTGTTTAGGCAAATCATGATCACTGAGGAAGAGAGGAGAAGGAGAGCAAGTGGGAGTGATGGGGGCACTAAAGAGTTGCCGAAACACTGAGGGCTAAAAGGAGTAGTGATGTAAGGGGAGGGAGAGGATGAGAGGGAGTCAGAGTCACAAATCAAAAGTATCCAAGGTGATTCAGTGGCCTCCATCCTAAAGCTTGTGCAGGAACCGTGATATATATATATAGAGAGAGAGAGAGAGAAAGGAAAGGAGAGACCGACTGATATTGCAAAAAATATAGAAAGTGGAGGGCAAGTGGACAGGCCCACAATTTAAAATAAACAACAATCTTATAAAGTTAACAAAAGGTGCATTTTAGAGTCATTTGAAATCATAACAGGTATTTTTATACCTAAATGTTATTATAGTGCCTGATGCTCGTTTTTTATATTACAATAAGTAAATTTCCCTTTATTTATTTATTTTTGTCATAAGCATTTGAGGCCGAATAATTCCAACACTGTAAGTGCAGAAAACTGCCAATATTCAGTTTTTGTCTTTCTGAGTTCTAAGGTCTTCAGTTCTGTTTGAACACCATGATTAATATCTTGGTCTAAGTCTAACCCAGAAAACCCAGAAAATTAGGTGCAAGGATGAATTTATCTATATATATATATATATATATATCTTACTCTCATTCAAAGCCAGACTTGCACATATATAAAGTTAACAACCGCCAATTACGCTTTCATACAGTGGTAAAGTTTAAATAATATTGATGGACTGGTGATGAGGCCAAACTTTTGGCAAAGAGATAGTGTTTTACTATATCATTTTATAAAAAAAAGGGTGTTCCTATATGACTGTCCCTCTCCATTATTGCCTTTATTTTTTTCCCCTCCTTCCATCGAACAGTAGGAGATTATATTTCATTAAAATAAAGGTCCAAACAGTACAAGTTACAAAACGTTTGGACAAGCTAGAATACTTGAATGTGAAATTGTCCCCCCGGGGGGGGGGGAAGAGTAGATAAACTGCGTCTCTAATCTCCATTCTATCTGGATCGATCAGAGCTTGAAGATGGACTGGGGTTCTAAGAACCCAATGATTATAGCTACCGTCCTTTGATGAAGCTTTAAAGCCCAATTGAATTGAAATTTCCTGCATGAGTAAGAGGACGTTTTCACATCTCCAGTCCTGAGGTGAAGCAGACGTTAAGATGGAGTCTATGAGGACCTTGCCATCTGATTTTTTCTACCGCCTTCAATTTTATAGCCATCACTTTCAAGACTACAATACACACATTCACGCAGCTCTGATCATCAACAGGCAACAAGTCCCTAATTCTTGATACCCATTTCTGTTCCTGCTAATTTATTTTCTATTTCTTCACCGGTCTTCCCGACACGTCTGGTCAAAATACGCAATTAAAGAAAACCTTTCACTTCATCTCGTATAAAAATTAATACAGTTGTTTAATGGCAAGGCTTACAGCTTTTGGTCCTCAGCACTGTTCAACCGGCAGTCTAGTCACGTCAATATATGCACATCGAGCATATATAATCTTATATAGCCGTGGTGATCGTATTGAATTAAATGCAGGAGCTACCTGGCTGTTGGTTTCAGAACGATATACTACTTATCTGGGCTGCTAAGTGCTAGCTAGCTGCTACAGTATCATTGAGCTCCGTATTTGATTTCTATTGGTAATGGGACCCGGGTTTCAAGTAGCTGTAGGTGTGAACGCCAATTATCTCCACCTACTACTGCTTTTCCCGGCGTGTTTCACATTCGTGATTTTACGTCTCTTTGTTCATTTCTTTGGTCTTTGTAAACATCTTTGACCACATATATATATTGCTTTCTGTCCACAATATGCCGCTATTATTATGATCAAAGTGTGTCTTATGCAGTTATGGATGACCTCTGATAAGAAATGGGGCGAAAACGTTCGATCGCTAGTTCTCACTTTCTTTTTTTTTACCAGAATCGCTAGTTCACCCTTGGTGGTATTACCCGTGTCGTGTTCATATTTCAGCGACTACTGTCCGTCCATGTAGCAAGTGCCGTCAAAATGACAAGCTTTGATTCAATATATCCATTTTTCACCAAAATGTATCTATTTGATCCGAGCACCCCTATCATACCATTACCGTTAGATCCAAAAATACAAAAACAGGGATGCCTTCTGAGTTAATGTTATAAGGGACATGTAATTTTTTCCCCACAGGGTGTCTTTCAATCATCATCAAATAAAGCTGATCCATGATCACTAAGAAAAATAAAGTTAATAACTTTTCTGTTATTGGTTTACTTTTCCTTCCGGTCACTGTAACGAATGCAAGCACGGAGAGCGGCGCAAGTGATAGTAACTAGATAGTGAGAAATTGCTAAAATGCTCCTCGCTACTTTATCTGTTTTTCTTGTTAAATACGTACAGTGCTGTTTTCTGTTAATAGGAAGATACTAGTATATAATCTTACATTTAAAAAACCGAAGAGTATTAACATGACTGCGGAAAGCCCGCACCAAACTTGTCGGTTGACAGCCTCCTTCACCAAACGTGCATCATTCACATTCCTATTCTTTGCCATCCTTCCTGCAGGCTGCAGTCAAATCTCCACATTATTTGATGACAGAAATCCCTGGCATGTTACCTTTTTCTCACAGAAGTAGCATTCCTCCAACTACACAAAAACACCCTCCATAACTTCTTTTAATTTCCTCTTTCCTGCCCAATACCTGTTGTCGGGCCGTCTCCCTTATTTATTACTTCAGTATCCATTTACTAACCGTACAATTTCTTTTTTTCCTTTTGCCTGAACCGTACAATCTCATCTAAAACAGTTCAAAAACTCATGATCACATAATATTAGAATAATATTCTCAACAATATTTATTGTGATAATCATATTTATGTACTCATGAACATGAGTAATTTTAAGATTATATATTCTTTAAACATTAAAAAATTAGGCACATCCTATGAATTTTTTTCTACCAATACACTTTATAAAATTTTAAGTGTATATAATTACTTCAAAGCCTACTTTCCGGAGTATTAAAAAAAATATGTCAAACCATCACACTGAAATTAAAAAGGTAAATATTCTTATTTATAATTTATAAATATTATAAATTATCATAAATTCTATACCATATATATACATGCATATATCAATGCCACAAATTGCCAGTAGCTATTTGGCCGCGCGGATTCGCCCTACAAATTCTGAATACGACTTTATTTTTTCCAATAATAAGACTACTTTTTTTTTATACAACTTAATTTCACATGTAACACCTTTCGTTAATTATCGTATATTTGGACATTAGCACTTGTCACGTCTTCTAATTTCCCCACCTTATCTCCAAGTAAATGACGTACCTATAATTTACCAGTCGCAGGAAAACCGAAACGCAAAAATTCAACCACTTCCCACTATATTCTTATAGTTCTTGTTTGATTTTTCTAACAAGGAACTAGCGTACGTGATGTGTAATTAATAAATCCAACAACCACAATCGGAAACACCCTTTTTTATAATTTTATGTTTTATCGGGGAACAATAAAACAGGTCCAGAACCTGTCTGCGCGCCAGCGAGCGATGCTCGCGCTGACATGTGTAATTTGCAATATATGATGAGTAATTGTGAAGTTAAAAAAGAAGAAGAAGAAGAAGAGAAGAGTTCCAAATTGGGGCGTAACTTTTTTTCCCTTGACCAAGTGCGCAACCTCTATCGGATAAGAAGCAAGTTTGGAATTAATGGGCAATAAGCAAATTTGGAATTGATGTTTTCTCCTCTTCCTACCGGGAGGGCAGCATTTGAGAAGGATCATAACTTTTATAAATTTATAACTTGAAACTCCGAGGCCAGCAGTAGGCCACGTTTATATAATTTCAGGAGACGCTCGGCACTTCACATTCTAGTTTGACGCAGCGCCCAGAAGGGTAGTACGTATCAGCGCGTCGTACATCCCGGATCATGAGAAGCGTTAACGGAGACGACAAAGATAAGAATGGCGACCTCAGTCAGCCCCTGTTGCCAGAGTGTTCGCTCAAGGATGGGTCCCCGAGTCAAGAAGATAAACTCGGAACTAAGGTGTGGATCGAATCCAAGAAGCTATGGCTGATCGTGGGTCCCTCCATCCTCAGCCGCGTGGCGTCATTCACCATGAACGTCGTCACCCAAGCCTTCGCGGGTCATCTCGGAGATGTTCAGCTCGCTTCCATTTCCATCGCCAACACCGTCATCGTCGGCTTCAACTTCGGCCTCCTGGTATGCCTAATTAATTGGTCGCAAGGCTTTATCTACCAATTTTCCGCTATTATTATCAATTATTGAATGAATAAATTAAATATTCTACTTGCTATTTGATACCATATATTTATTATACTATGTAGCTCGGGATGGCCAGCGCGTTGGAGACACTGTGCGGGCAAGCGTTCGGGGCAAAGAGATATCACATGCTGGGGATATACATGCAAAGGTCTTGGATAGTCCTGTTTGTGTGTTGCTTCTTGCTGTTGCCGCTGTACGTGTTTGCGACCCCTATTCTGAGATTGTTAGGACAGCCAGATGATGTGGCGGTGGAGTCCGGCGTGGTGGCTTTGTGGCTCATACCCTTGCACTTCAGTTTTGCGTTTCAGTTCCCACTTCAAAGGTTCCTACAGTGCCAGCTTAAGACCTATATCATTGCCTGGGTTTCATTGGCGGGTCTGGTGGTCAATGTGCTCACCAGCTGGCTGCTCGTATACGTTTGGGATGTTGGAGTGGTGGGTGCGGCCATTGCTCTGGACCTTTCCTGGTGGGTACTGGTGTTCGGCATGTATGGCTATGTGGCTTGCGGTGGCTGCCCTCTGACCTGGACGGGTCTCTCCATGGAAGCCTTCTCAGGGCTCTATGAATTTCTCAAGCTCTCTGCCGCTTCCGGGGTCATGCTCTGGTCTGCTACCACGCTCTCTCTCTTTCTATTATTACTTGACTTGACAGCTATGAGGTTAAATACAAACATAATTAAGACAAATTAATTGAGAGGGTGATGGATGCAGTTTGGAGAACTGGTACTATAGGATACTCATACTGATGACGGGACACCTGAAGAATGCCACAGTTGCCGTAGATGCGCTGTCAATATGGTGAGTTTTTAAATTCCTGAGTTGTTGGCCTTTCGCTCCTGCAAATGCAAAACTGGGATCCTTACTGGGCATTTTTTTTTCCTTCTATGCCGCACGCAGTATGACTATAAACGGATGGGAAATGATGATTCCTCTTGCTTTCTTCGCCGGTACCGGGTACAGTTTTAATTCATCCTCTTCCCTTTCTGTCTTTCTCTCGTTTCCCCTTCCTTCCATTCACAAGACAGCTGTAAAGTGGCATTAATTATGTGGTGGCAACGTTTTGAATCATCGTTGTGTCAAAACAAGGTCTAATTAATGACAAGTACGCACCTCCTTTTCGGTTTTAGGTTTTCGCTAAATGACAATAGATAGGCAGAAAAAAGCTACACTCAACCACAGGAGTCATATCATCCCTTAGGAAATTACCCTTTGACTATTCAAAGTCGGATCATCAGTAGATTTGCACCGGAAGAATTTTAGTTTGAAATGATGACAGAGACGAGACCATAATTCACACACACACACACACACAAATGCGGCGTAAATGATGAACGGATGTTGACACAATATATAGGGTAAGGGTGGCGAACGAGCTCGGAGCTGGGAACGGGAAAGCGGCAAAGTTTGCGACCCAAGTATCGGTTGCAGAATCAACAGTGATAGGGGTGTTCTTCTGCGCAGTGATAATGGGATTTCACGACCAGCTTGCCTACATGTTCACATCCAGTTCAGAGGTACTTGAAGCAGTCAATGGCATGGCTTTCCTCTTAGCCGCGACCATACTTCTCAACAGCGTCCAACCAGTCTTGTCAGGTCAGCATATTCAACGTGTGCAGCCGCCATATATATTTTAATATTTAGATGACGCACACTCTCTCGCAGATCGTCATATTATGATATGGGAAATGCAGGGGTGGCTGTTGGTTCCGGATGGCAAACATCAGTAGCGTATATAAATTTAGGCTGCTACTACGTTGTTGGGCTCCCTCTTGGATTTCTTATGGGATGGGTTTTCAAGCTTGGTGTCGAGGTATGTGTGTACACAAAGAAATCTGGCTACACTAGCTGTTCATTAAACCCTGATTATGTTTTAATGTTGTGATTTGTTTTTGGCACTGATGATGGCAGGGCATTTGGGGGGGGATGATATTCGGTGGGACGGGGATTCAGACGCTCGTACTCATCTTCATAACAGCAAGATGTGATTGGGACAAGGAGGTGCGTGCCCGCTTGAAAAAGTTATTAATTAATTTGGCCACCCTTAAATTTAATTGCTAGTGGAAAATAGGATGGTGAAGTCACGACTTAATTAAAAGCTTTTGTTAGTCCTTTGGTAATGGTTTTTCTATTTTGGGAAAGTGCAGGCCAGGACGGCGAGCTCCAGAGTGAAAAAGTGGTCCACTCCTAGCCCCAATGATTCAATAGACGTCTCCCATTCACCCCGACCGTAAAAAGTCTCCTGGAGTGAACAATTAATTGCACTGTTCCTGTGATTGCATTCTTGATTTTGTTGTCGAGATAAAGTTGTACTCTTATTTTTGCTGTTAATGATCGGTACATACATTGATAAACAGGGACGGGGGAACAGAGTATTCGAGAAGGAACGGGATGACAAGAGAGTGCAAATTGCTTTCTTCTTTCATTCTCATCCAACATTGATCTCCTATCGTTACATCTTAGTTTTCTAATACAAATTAGCTAGTGATTTGTTGTCTATTTCCTCCGGCTTGACGCGTGCAGAGGGCAAGTGATCCACGACTCATTTTTCTTTTGGGCCAATCCTAACCTAAGTTGAAAACTTTTTTTTTAAAAAAATACTGCATAATCCGCGGAGTCGGCAGATAATAAAGAAAACAGGGTTACGCTTACGCAAGACGGCAAGAGCTTGAGATTGCATGATTCACAATCGTCTAGAATATGACGGATATACCGAGTCAGAGGGGTGTCGTTAGGAATCTGTACGCGGAGACACACACATCATAGTTATTGGGCCGAGAAAGTGAGATAGCCCATGCTTCGCAGGACATATCCTTTGCATAATGCAGAATGCATACAATTTACATATACAATGCATCCGGATGGAATTGGTGCCGACTCCATTCAACGGACAGCAATACGCCAGAAAAAAGAAAAGGAAAGAATACATTGGAACGTTGGGAAATCTTGCTCGAAAACCCAACACAAAGGTTTAAATATTTGACCTTACCAAAGAGGGAGTCAGTGCCACTAGATTATGGGTTATTGGCTCTCAAAGAATCTATTATGCAAATGCAATAGTTAACAATCATACATATAGGCTTTGGCTAAAAAACAATTAATAAGTAGGTAAAGATATAGAATTTTGGGACCCCCATAATGGACCAGTACTGGGACCAATAATTCAGCTTACTCCATCACGGCACATGGAACCGTCTCTGGAAAGTGGAAAAGCGCCATAAATCCATCAACAAACATAAAATAAAAGTCAAAGCAAACCCGATGCTCTCACAGATGGATCTGTGTGTTCTCTCTTTTCTTTCTCTTCCCCTTGGGGACAAAACTTACGAAACGACTGAACGAGCTGTGTAGCACTCTGGCCTACATCTTGTGCATTCTATTATGTTTGACTATGTTCCCTTCATCATCAAAAGAGAGGCCAAAAAAGAGAACTGGATGACACAACGTTACACCCAAAAAAAAAAAAAAAGGAAGGATGTCGAAATATCAACCATGATGAAAGAACGAAGAAACATGCCTGTCAACTGCTCCCCAACAGTAATGGCCCAGAAACCAAAAACAAACTGTTATCCAACCGTTGGAGCCGTTAAAGAACGCCGTTTCTGATCTTACGCACCCACCCTCCGCCAGGCGGAATCGCTATCCGTTGGTCCGCTTCCAGAAACGGGTTTGCCCACCCGATCGACTTGGGTCTCGCCGTCAGCCACTTTCCCTCCATCTCCTCCTTCTTTGCCTGCATCTTTCTTCTCGCCTGGTTAATCAAATCCCAAAACGCATCATTTCTTATTCTATTCACGAACAGAAGTACCAGCTTTTCTTTGCTACCCTCTATTCTTGTCAAATAACCCACCAACCCACTCAGCTCTCCCACATCCAAAATTTCCATTCTTTCTCCAAATTCTTCAACCCGCAAGAATATTTCGGATTGCACACTTCTGTAATCTTCACCCGCCAGTCTCACCGCTTCATATACCAACTCATTCTTTTGAAGGTATAACGATTCGGGCACTCTTGTTAGCTGCTCCACGAATCCCACAAGACTTTCAATTTCACGCAACAAATCCGAGTTTGATCCCCGAAGATGCTTTCTTTCCTGCACCCCATTCTTTTGATTATTGTTGTCGCCGCTTGTCAGGTGATAACCCAAAACCCTCGATACTGTTAAAGACTGCTCCAAAACGCCCGCATACCATCGAACCCATGATGTTAATTCCAATGATTCCGGCCCTGAATCGTCACGAAAGTTGGATAGATTGAGGAAATTGTGTCCGCCAAAGGAAGGGTAATAGGAGAGTTGATCCCTCAGAGCGAGGGGTCCCCTGACTATGGTGTGTAACATGAAAAGGCATTTCAGGGCAACAATGGCATTCCGCGTCTCGTGAAGTCGGTCCATGAGAGCGTCTATGCAGACCCGTGGCAAAAGATGTGAGCCTTGGCTGACGGAGAGGACGGCAGCGATTCGGTCTTCCGACGGAGGATATGAGATGCTGTGATTGGTGGCACGGAGGACGTGGAGGCGAACAGAGGACACGTGGCGTTTGAGCGATAGAGTTGCCGCAACTATGGAGGCCTTGTCTTTGAGATTGTAAATGAGATTTCGCACTCTCTCTTTCGGAGCCATTGGGAATAGAGAGGAAAGAACAGAAAGAAAGCAGTCGACAGAGAACGACGAAAGAATCAAGTGAAGAAAAGGGTATTGGGTTGGGTTCGTACACTGTTCTTTTATGGACGCAAACGAGAGTCAAGGTCCTAAATTCCCTCTGAGAAGTAAAATAAACTCAGTTGCCAGAGCAAGACTCTGAATATCTCAATTAATATGCCATGCGATCAAATATTCATGAATCGAAATTAATATAGCAATCGATGAGGTTGGATGGGCTTTAATTTTCCTCAGTTTGCCAGCCTTTTCCCACGCAGTGCATCGGTTGCATACGCGGGCAAGCAACCCTCGGGTTTCTAATCTTATTTTCTTAGTGAAATCTACTCTGCTCGGAAAGTGAGAGCTCATAAAACTATCGATCTAGCTGACCATTTCATAAGTGTGTCGCTTTCTTGGAATTATTTTGTCTTTTAATTTTATTTTATGAATATGAATTTTTTTCTAATCAAGAATCAGTTACGTGCAATGTAAACGAGAATTTTTTTTTATATGATGACTAGGATTAAATTATTTTTTTATAATTAAGCAATCGTGCTTTAAAAAATGTTAATAATGAACTCATCTCCTGTTCACACACACGTATTCTTTTTGCTCTATTTTTGTGATGACTATGTATAAATCTCTTACGATTCGAAGTATTTATATATAATTAGATTGTAGCTATATATATAAATCATACCCATGCAGTCATTTTATACGAATTATAAGTTGAAGAAGAGAATTTTCAATTCGTATGAGCATCTTTTGACGGCGTCAGCATTCAGATTAAGTGTGAGGCGCATGTATTATTTATTGAAATTAAATTAACGAGGTCACTTTTCTTTGCTATACGGAATCAAATTCTAAGGCTTGGTCCTTGGTAGCCGCGATGCTGTGTGGACACCTTTTCTCTGCACGTTTCATTCCAGCCCATGAGGGTGTGTTTGATTCGAAGAAAAGGTGGGAAAGAAGAGGAAAAACGAGCCTCTCTCGTTATTTGATTAGAAATTTTGAAAGGAAAGAGCACTAAAATCTCCCCTCTCCTCACTCTCTTACCCTTATTTTGACTTTTCTTGGGTTTTTTTAAGAGAAAGGCTAAAATGTTAGATCATTTTGCTCTCATATTTTTATGATATTTCATTAATGTTTATAAAATATATTATTGTAAGACTTAAATAAAAATATATATTATTGTAATTAAAAATATATTATAATAAAAATTATTGCAATGAAAAATTATATTATTACAAATGAATTAATTTTCACAAATATATTATGGTATCAATTAAAATATATTTACAAGTTGGGAAGAAAAAATGATAAAAAAGAAAAAAATTTCGTTTTTTTGGACCATATAAAATTTATTAATTTGATTATGTAAATTATATTATTATATTTATTACTGTACTAATTTTTAAATACACATATTAATATGAAAAGACTGAATATTCATTGAATTATATAATTTGAAATAAGATATAAATGAATTTATATAATATGTAAATAAAAATATAAACTAATATGTAAAGGTAAAATGGTAAATTGATTATTATTATTTCTTCACCCTCTTTCTTTTTAATCAAACCAAATTAAATTTAAAACCTCTCACACCCCCTTACCCCACCCTTTTCTGCCTCTCTTACCCTCCCATCAAACCAAACAGGCTCTAAACGCATATATAGTAAAAAATTGCCGACGGGCAATGCATAAGAAGGTGGTAACATTATATAGTACAATTACAAGGAACGAACGAGCATAGCAAGAAACAACGAAGTGAGAATCCACAACCATGAGCATAGATCTGCTAGATCAGAGCCTTATTTTAAGCTTACGCGAGAGACAGTACTGACTCGAAAGCTAAAGCAGGAATGGAGGATAAAAAAACAAGTAAAAAGCAAAGGAAGGGGATGCATGGAATCAAATGCGGATGCGGTCCAAGCAAGATTTTGCGTGAAGGGGATTGGTTTGCTGAAGCAGCATGTAATCCCTGTATGTGATGCCGCGATAAGCAGGTGGATGAGCCTCCGTGATGAGCTCCGACGAAGGGGCGACCGTAGTGTCCAGGGAAGGCCCGTGTGCAGTCCCTATGGAGATTCTCGCCGCTTTATTATTCACCATTGCTCGGTGCAGAACGCTCTTGTATTTGCCGTTCGTCAATATCTGAACACATACAAAACCCCTTTACACTCCGAACAATCACCTAATATGCTAAGACTAGAACAAGATTTTACCTCCATGTGATCCCCGGTGTTGATCATGAGGGAGTTTGGCGGCGGATGTACGGAAACCCACTTGCCATCGTGATGGATTTGAAGCCCGTCCTGGTTGTTTTGCATGAGCAGAGTGAGAAGCCCATGGTCTGTGTGTTCCGGCAGTCCCCTTGCAAGCTCCGGGCTTGGACATGGTGGGTAATAGTTCACGACAAACATTTGCGTCCCCAGCCTCACGTTCATCTTCTCATATATGGAGTTCTCTTCCATCCCCAAGCTTCTGCTTATCCCTTTCAGCAACTCCTCCGCCACTGCCCTACTTTTTTCGCAGTATTCTTCTATAGTCTCGCTGCACCCATTTTACCATTTAAAACATATCTATATATCCACATTCTCGTTAACAGTTGATATTTTGATTTTTCATATTCTCCAGGAGAGCAAGCACATTAATTAATTAATTAATTGCGAATGGTTTGGGCGTAAACCTTGCAGACGAGCTCCTTTCCTACTCTGGAACGTAAATCCTGACCATCTATATTAATTTTGATGAGGATCATATCTGCCGAAACTAATTCCTTTTAGTGTTATGATACTCACCGATCAATATAGTAAAATTTGTGTAGTCCAAGTACAATTTCAACCATTCATATAGTTAAATTTGCATGGTTCAAATACTATACGATACTCATCATATTGTAAAATTAATTTTAAAGAAAACTTATAATTAAAAAATTATCTTTATTTTATATTATATACATACCAAATAATTTTTCAAAGAATAAAAGTAAAAGATAAATCATTCCTTGTATGATATTCATTCCTAATCTTTCTCAGCTTCCCTGCCCGTCTTCAGGCGAGGAATAATTTCTGTTGATGATTTTCTTGATACCAAAAATAGGTAAAATTGCAATTGAAACAGTTTTTTAGGTCTGCCTAATATTTTGTCAGTAAATGTCGTGTGAGAAATGAGAATATAAATTAAACATGATTGTTTTAGAGGAGGGGCGATACCTGAGACTGGGGGGCTTGGTAGGGGCATGGAAGCGAGGATGAACTTGGAGTTTGAGATAATCTCGCCAGAAAAGACGCTTTTCCACGTTCGGATTGAAGCTTGTGCCGCATCTTATGGGATCCGACACACTGCTTCCCTGGAATTCTTTCTTCTCTTCTTCCGTCAGATTAAAGAAGCTGACGCATGCCCTCACCAGCCCATCCCTTAGTGTTTCCGGCAATCCGTGGTTTATCAGCTACATTTAACCAACCCAACTATTAGGTGTGGGTACCTCACAGAAAAGAAGTGAAGAAGATCGAACATATGTACGGATCGGAACTCCTGACATGAAAGGGAAGAAAAAGTCGCGGAGCTTACCAGAAAGAACCCCCAATCGCGACAGGAATCTCCGAGCTGCTGGGTTGCTCTGGAGCGTTCACTGGGATCGCAAGAGGTAAGCTTGGAGAAGTCAATTGTGGGAACAATAACGTCGGATTGGCAGTACAGGGAATCTTCTGGACATTGAATGCACACATATTTGGAGGGGATAGAGCTCATCAGACGATTGGATTCAACTAGCCCTTTCACACTATCCATCCTTACTTTCTTCTCGGGATTCTCCTCGCCTGGGTTTGGGTATGGAGTAACAAAGGGGATCTTGCTCGCTGCTACTATTACAGATAGCATGCACTCCCCATAGAGTGAGGCTTTATATAATAAAACCACGCTACTACCATTACACTGTGGAACCCCTCCCTGGGATCGTCAGGGTTGATGGCTCCACCACAAACGTGTGGTGTTCGTTGCAGAGACGGAAACCCTCAAAATCAAACCACATAACTTGCCCTATATACCCCCACAGTGCTGTTGTGGTTTATTAATGCTGCCCGAAGTAACGTGTTATCTGTTGCCACTATGATGGTCGTAGATTTTTTGGGGTGGGGCGGGGGGCGGATTTAAAAAAGGACAGGACATTTAGCATTAAGTAAAACGTTTTATGAATCACAATACAATATTGGGAGTAGTTTGCTGCGTGGAGGCCCTAAATGAAAGGTCACGAGCACTGATGGAAAATATAATGGATCAGAAACGGTCATCAGGCATCGAAAATTATAGAGGTGGGAGAATTTGTTGTTGGTGACGCTGGAATGGATTTTTGGCGGCAAATATATTGACATTATGCATTCCCGTTTTGTGGCCTTAAAAGAGAAAGTATATTGACATTGTGCACTGCTTGATGCGATGTAGAGATGGATCTGGCACCAAATCAGCGTAACTAATTGAAAGAAATCAAATATTAGTCATCTTCTGAACTCAGCAGATTTTCCTTGTCCCAGGCGCACGAATTCAACGTGGAACTGGAAGGGAGAACCGTAAGACTAGGAAGCACTGAAGCAGAGAAAATGGGCGTAGGCGGGCGTGCAAGGGGTGGGACAGAGTGAGGGCATCAACTAGTGTGTACGGATGGGTTCAACTGTCGACAGTAACATTAGCACTAGATCGTGGGCTGGGCCTCCTTTCATGTCCTCGGTCCAATCTCTTTGCGGTTTCCGTCTTTGTCGATTAGACGTCGACACACGTAACTTACAAGATAAAGAAATGCGCGTGCGCGACGTCCTTGCTGGCTGCACCTAAACCATGCAAATAATAATAATAATTTCAAATAAACAAAATTTATGTTTTGGCCCAAAAAAATAAACAAATTTATTTCTGTCAAGTTATATAAAGCTATGACCAATACTCTTCCATTAATTTTCTAATTTGCTGCGGCTGTTCTGCCCCTGCGATGATCTTTATTGCCATCTTCGACCGAAAGGTAAAGCCTGTGCTGTGGCCCATCCCTGATGACTCGTGATTTTCCCAGTTTTACCGTTAATTCATTCTCACTTGCCTTGTTTCTTTCCAAGTAATTACATACAATCATCAACCATGCAGGCGTGCATGTCTTGCTTTGTATCAAATAGCTCATTAATCATCATTACTGCCATTAATTCCTTCTCCTTCTCCTCCTTTGCGGTGTTTTTTTTCAAAAAACAGATCCTGCTTCTCCGGTATAACAATCACATTCTCCGTTAAAATTAAATAGTTAAATAAATTAGAAAGGTCACGTCATTCAATCGGATCTTATATGCTATAACTTTTCCCATCATATTTGAATCTATGTTGATCATTTCTTGCTGACATGATACTAACCTTGCTTCTTAACGTAAGTTTTAATTTGTGGTTCAATTTGAACTACGGGTTATAACTTACGTTGAAGACCAGAGGTGGTATTGGGAGAAAGGTGTTAAAGAGATGTTCTAGTAGAGCCGCGTCATTTCCAGCAGCATTACGAAAAACAATAATTAGGACTGCAGGAGTAGCTGAATCATCTTGATCTTCTTGTTGAGACAACACTCGAGAGTATAGTCAACGCAAATAATACGTTTTCAAAACAACTCCATATATGTAATGAAAATTGTCACGAGTTTGTAATCTTATCTCATACAAAAGCATGTTCTGAAATTCTCAGGCGCACCTCCAGTTCATTTGGGTTCAATTTTCCGAAAACGAAATCTTGGGGAGCTGTTGGGATATCTCTGGAAATATTTTTTAAAAATACTTTTTTTTTTATAAATTAAGATAAATTTTGTTGCATATTTAATTCACATATATATCATAAAATTATTTTTAAAATTATATTTTAGTTTACATCCAAACATCTTCTCAGATAAACTCAAAATATATATAAATACGTGGAAGAAAGTTTCGGGAGAGGGCCTTTCTTTTTTTTGGGGGAAAAAAAAAGTGGCATTGTTATGCTATGAACAGGAAACTTTTCCCTCTGTGAAAAACTAATTGACTAAGCTACCCCTGTCCTACCATCTAATCTTTGTTCCCGGAAAACAGTGGATCAGAAGACCGTTCCACGATGTCGTCTATCCCCACCCCCGACGGACCCTCCGGTGCCTTGTTCGTCACGGTCGAACCACTCCTGCTCAAAAACGGCGGCCTCACCGTGAACCCCCATTGCTCTGGCCGCCCCTCGCCTCCGAATCGCTCGTGCTGGAAATAGTTCCTTCCCCTTCCACTCCCTACACTTCTTGTCCTATAACCCCTCCTCTGACTGCTCTCCCTTGTGAACGCTACGCAACTATTTGTTCGCTTTAGTAATTGCCTTCGGGCATCCTCCGGTAATCTGAGAGTAAACCTTTCCCAATTCTCTCCGGGACGAAGCTGCAAGGAATGACCCGTGGAGTGAGAACGGGGGAATAAGCCAGCCAACCAGAACCCCGTTGACTTTGACCGAGGAGTCCGGCTCCGGTTCACTGTGTGATTTCGGCTCAGAATCGGAGACTCCGGTGCCGCCGTGTTGATGTTCTCCTGGGGCATCTCACGGGAATTCAAACCTGAGTCAGGGTGAGGCGAATCGACGTCCGGATTGGGGATCTGAATGGCGACGAAGGAGGAATCACCGGGTTTTGGAACCAGGTTGGCGCGGCAGAGGGGGCAGGTGGAGTGAGAAGAAAGCCAAAGATCGATACAATCAGGATGAAACACGTGGCTGCATCTGGGGATCAAACGCAGAGTTTCATCATCTTCGAACTCGTTCAAACAGACGGCGCATTCCAGCGAGGTCCTTCCCATCTTAAGCCCCTTGACGGAGGAGTAAACGAAAGTGGGAAAACTATCGATGATCTCGGGTTCAAGACCACGCGGTCGACGGCTGCTGATGCCGATCGGGAGAGTGAGGTCGAGTCTTCCTCTCATTCGGCGCTCTGCGCATTGGCGGGTGTAGATGGAAAGGAAGCCCAAAATGAAGAAGACGAGGACCAGGATGACCATGATGATGGCCATGTTCTTGTCGAACTTGAGCCTGGCAAAAGGGTCGGCGGGCGGAGGCGGGGGAGCCGCGGGGAATTGCGCGGTAGCCGAGAAGGCAAGTAGAAACAGGACAAGGCAGCGGAGGCCATGGCGATGATGGAGACTGGAGGGCGGGGGGATGGGAGGAGGGGGAGTGTGGGAATGGACTGTCATAGCTGATCATCAGGTTGAGGGGCTTGCAGCTATCGGAAGCAAAGAATTTTGCTGCAAATCCGACACATGATGCCGTACGATACGACGCAGTGATGGCTGCCCCACTCTTGCTTTCTTCTTTTGTGTGTTTTTGCTCAGAATGGGAATGATGGTGTTGTAACTGGAAAGCAAAGCGAAACCAAAAGGCCGGGCGTTAAATATCACATGCCATGCTTTCGGTTGAGCCCGCCGAGGAGAAGATATAAAGATTTGGGCGCGGCATGCAATAGATGGGGTATCTTTGGGGACCGTTTTCCTTTTAAACTTTTTTCTTAACGGAAGAATAACTTTTTTAGTTCAATGTCGTGTGATTGATATTTTTATGCATATTGTGAATTTCTTGGTAATTTAATTTCAATCCGGGCAAAAAAAAAAAAAAGAAGAGTTGACAGAAATGGAGGGAACGCGCTCGGAATGAGAATGGGGACACGGGGTTGTTGGATATGATGTGCTAGGATGGGGGAACGTAGGATTTAGGGTAATGACTTTTAAAAATGTGGGGAGGGAGAGCCGCAAATAAAATATTCCCAATAATCCACATTTACTTCTTGTTTGTTGTATCTGAGGTTGGCGTCCCCACATCACGACATTGTCGTGGCAAAGACATGCGAATTGGGATGGAGTTTATGAGGGGGCTTTGGTCCCCCAAGTTTGGGCCTCTAGAATCTAGATTATGCATTTTTTATTTGTCGCTACGCTTGTCCAGTGCGATTCATTTTCTTGCTTTCTTCCTCCGTGACGGTGGCTTTGTTTTATTTATGCGATTGCTTCCAGAATCCACTTCGCGAGCTTCCCCACATTGCCTTTTTATCTTCTTCCGAATTGCAACATTTATGCCAGGATCGATTCTTGGATTCTTCTGTTACCCACTTTCGGGTCGTTCTTTTGTTAAGACCTCCTTCCTTGCCGTTCTATTGGCGCATGTGTGGGGTATACGCACATATATTTTGAATCTTAGTGATCCCGGAACCGGGGAACCCACAAAAAATGTTTCGTTGTGCATAACGAATAAATAATTAATGTGTTCCTTCTTTCTCCTCTGCAGCAGGGTATTTGTTTTGTTTTATTTGCTCCTGATTAATAACACAATTCAAAGTTTGTACAGTGCAGTGAAATGGGAATTAAAATGTCAAGCTTATTAGTTAGGGCTGCTTAGCCGGTGGACCTACGACTACGTGGGTGTTTGAAATTTGATATTCAAGTTGCCTGAGCAAATAAATGAAAAGCAAGGGTCAATCTCAGGCAAATAAACACGCTGTTGAATTGTTAGAAATTAGAAGGTGATTGCACGTCATTAGTTTTTAATATCATGGAGAGGAAGATGTTGGGACGTCATTTTCCGTCGCCGTCTGAGCCTAAGGGTTTAAACGTCCTATGGCAGACCTGGTTTCGTGGAAAACACAAAGTTGGTCCCAGTCGCGCGAAGCAATTGCTGGTCCCCTGTTGAATTCCTCGCCCTGTGGATTGAAATTCATGGCAGTTCAGTGAACCACCACTTCCATTTAACTAATCCCAGTCTCCACCGTCTTCAACGCACCAAACAATTATTTCTGTTTTATTTATTTTTAATTTCCTGTCATTTTATTCAACAAGTTCATCTCCGGTATTCTAGTCTGCTCACCTGTAAGTGCAACTCTATGCTTTCCAAGTACTTGTCTTTGCTGCTTAACGCCTGCCGCACCCAACTGATATTTATTATATTCAGCAGATAAGTAAACCCAAAAACACACAAACATATACATTTTTAAATGCTTTTTTAGTACTGGTCTCTGCCATTGCTTCTGGCATCAGTTCTTCAAAATTTGTGGATAATTAATACCCGTGGCATTATCACTTGCGCAAGTTTTATAAGAAAATAAAATTAATTAGTTCAGCCACCACTGCACCGCAGGCCTGATGCCAGTCGTCTATTTCACTTATTATAATTTAGTGGAATTATCAGAGTTATCTTAATCTTTATTACTAATTTTGAAGAAACTGGAGCCATGTCTGACATGTGCACCACTCACTAATTAATCACAATTAATGAATATTTGGAATCAAATTAAATGTGTGGTGGGGCAAAGCGAGCGGAACCCAGTGTCACGCTTCTTTGTGGAGGCATATGATTAATTCACATGCCTAACTACGGGGATAACTTGTTTCATTTTTAACCTTACTCTTCAAAGTCCACGAAGCTCATCATGGATCCTTATTCATTAATTGCAGCCGCAGCATATCCCAATTCAATTACGTGCCCCATCCCACTTACTACGTACTAATAAGTCATCCTAGAGGATGGCCGCTTTTGTACCTAATTAAATCGCCTCTCATCCATGTCGACTGTTTTAAATTGTATACTTTCCAACCCTTACAGAATATAAACACATAAAAAAAAAAAAAAGTTATAGGAATTTCTCTGCCTTGCTCGTCATACACATTCTGGGAAACATGAAGCTTGAAATGCATCCTACATATCAACTGTGCAAGTATGCCAAGCTTTAAATAAAAATCACATCTCATTTTAAACAAAAGTGTTGATTAGCAAACTTGTATGTTTAATAACCGACAATATATAATAAATAGCGAACACTAGTTTTGATTTTTGCTTGTTCGCAAAGTTTTATGTTATTTCCGTACCATTCATTTTACAAAGATAAGGGAGTGGGTTGGTCGGCGGAGAGTGTATGGGATGTGATGAAGCGGTCGTAGGCGTAGCGTGACTGCGAGTGGTGGCTGCCCAAGCTTCTGGTTCGATACCCTCTTCTGCCGCTGCTCATTCTCGTAAATGTTGCCACGCAGCTCTTCGTCCGTTTCAGCCTCGTCCCTATCCTCACCTCCTCCAACCTCAGCGTATATCTCTCCCAGTCCTCTCCTACTCCCTCCCTCCTCCAGCTTCTCCCGTTGACCGAGACCTCCCAAACAGTATCCCCATCAGCAGTCCCGTTGACCTTGACCGACTTGGACCCACCCTCTCCTTCACCGTCCTACTCCGATACCCTCTTGTATTCCCCCTCCCTCCTCCATTATTCTCGTTCTCACTATTATCGTGCTCGTTTTGTTCTTCTGAATCTGGAATTCCGACGGCTACCAAAGGCGTCACCTCGCTCTCGCTCTGCAGTACTACCGGAACCAGCAGGTTGGCCCGGCACAGTGGGCACGTGTAGTGAGACGCCAGCCAGCCGTCGATGCATTCGGGGTGGAACACGTGCCTGCATTTCGGGATTAACCTCAGCGTGTCATCGTCTTCGTACTCGTTCAAGCACACCGCGCATGCCAGCGCCCCTCTCCCCTTCACCGTCGAGTACAGGAAAGTGGGGAAGCTCTGGATGATCTCCGGGCTCACACCGCGACCCTGGGCGCGGGAACTGGATCGCAGGGGCCCCATTGGAAATGTGAGGTCGATGTGGCCTCGGAAACGGCGTCTGTCCCCACATTGACGATTGTACAGGGAAACGAAGCCCGATACCAAGAAGACGACGACCACGGCGCCCATGATGATGGCCATGGTCTTGTTGTCGTAGGTCATCATGGGTGGCTCCATGATCTGAGCAGGTGCCTGCGGCGGCGTTGCCTGTGACGAAACATGAGGCATAGTAACACTGGTAAGTTCATCGTCGAGTTTGAACAGTCTGGGGATGCCTGCGCCTCTACGCTCCTCGTTGTTAGTGTTACTCTTCATTTCCTGCCAAAGGATTTATCCGCCCATTCAGCGTTACTTTTAAAAAAACTAACCTGTAAAACACACAACTGAAGGCAGAGAAATATACGATCGCCGCCGCCGACTGGCAGTGGGGCTAATACATGGAGTGTACGGTTAATATATTGTGTTTTAGTTAATTTGATTAAATCATTAAACTTTATGAGTCTAGGGAGGCCAGGACGCGACCGAAAATTTGGCGCCCCGTAGCGCATGCCCAAGGGATAATGTTTTTGATTCATATGGCAAGGCAATAAGGACAGCCAGGGGAGCAGAATATGTCAAATCCAATCACATCCTATATATGAACCTCTGACCTTGCATTATTTCCAGGGGTTCTTCTTATTCACTTAAAAATGAATATCTGTCCATCTCTTCACAAGATAAATAAAACTCTTGGCTGATAAATAAGGATGAGGTGCTTGTATTAATTAATAAATAATGCATGACCTCTGAAGTAGCTATATATGTGTACATATGTCACACTGTAAATGGCATGTCTTCTTCAGTCCCCATCTCAAAACAGACGGGAAGCACACAGATATCAGGATCCGTCACTCCGATGGAAGTTGAAGGGTTATGTGCGTGAGAGAGATGTTAATTTGTAGGGAGCTGGGGAGTGGTTTGAGCAAGGCGCTCCAGTTAAGTAAATAGAGGGTCATACCCATATGCGGTTGGTAAAGGTTGGTTGCGTATATGAAATATAAGGCAGCAAAGAACAATTGTCAGGATAGGTCACTGTCACTCCATTATACAGCAAGGATGGGTGACTTGCGGGATTGGTCACGTGGACTTGCATGCTTCTCGTGTTTGTTTAATTTAGTGGGGGATGAACCATTTGCTTTTCACGTTTAAAACAATACTCATAAAACTGAAATGCAACACTATTAAAATGATCCCTTCAGTCCCATGCCTCCCAGTCGATGGGCTTGAATCCTCTGCATTCGCGAAATGAGTGGTAAGAGTGAATTGAAAAAACAAAGGTGGAGTTGTTGGCCTCAAACCAAATGATTACATGTGAGCCCTACCTACAATCACTTTTTGTAGTGCGTGTTTCCGTCTAAAATGCGTTCATCATCCTCATCCATGCACAGGATCCAAAGGCGTTTTGATCTGATCTTATAGAAATAAAATTGGTATCATACTTAGGGATCATGTATTCATGTCACTCTACTTCTACCAAATATGATACTCCTCCGATACTTAATATAAGACGTATTTAACTAATTTAATTATATTAAAGAAGTTAGGTAAGTTAGTTAATTATAAGAAATATGACATGTTTTTCCTAAAACACTATAATTATCTTTCTTAATTTTCTCCCTTCCTTTTTTACTTTATTATAGTTGAGGAAGTATTTATAGGGTAAGTCTAAGAAAAACTGATAAATATGAGAAATAAATATTATATTTAAGACCAAAACCAACTTAACAATTAGTTTTTATATTAAGGACGGAAAGAGTATGTTGTAAAAGATAAAATAAGGAAGGTCTCGTTTATAAGGGATTTCTTTTTACGAGGATAGGGCTTCTAATTTTTTTTTTATAGATTAAGTAATTGAATCCCACGAGTGAAAACGAAATATATATTTCTTTCCGGTGTATTTAAATGAAAAAACAAACGAAATATATACATCGAAAAGCAGGGATCGGAACCTGCAGGGAAAGGATAATGAAGTCGTAAAACTGAAGACAGACAAAATTTCAGAAGACGGAAATCACACACTATTGGGCTCAAATTTATAGTGGGCCGACCCAAAATAGTCCATCTGAGTCATGAGGCTCATAGCGAAAGTCATCGAACGAATGGACGGTGTAATTATGTGATAACGAGTTCCGGTGAAGAACGCTGAGAACTAAAACAATCATCTCTCTCTCTCTCTCTCTCTCTCTGTCTCACACACACACGCGCGCGCGACATTGAGAGAGCAAGGGAGAGCAAGGGACGAAGAGTAACTCCAGTACAAACACACCTGATAAAATGGGGACTTTTAGACAGACGGAGGGGATTCACATAAACACAATCTCAACACTAACCCAGTGATCTCTTCATCACCTTTTACCAATATTCACTGCCCGTAGTAAAATGCTCCACCTGCTCTTTATTATAATAAATTCTTATAATTTTTAATACAAGACCCTTCGTCTAGAATTAAGCAATCCTCTCTGCTTAATGAACTTCGTCGAAAGTAATTTTGAAGGTTTAAATTCATTAAATAATTTTAACTGAATTGTTTGATTCATTTAAATTTATTAAAATCAAATGGAGTAGCTCCCGAATGTGATATTCGCATACTTCCATCAGTGCTGTTGTACTGTGCCAAGTTGTATCCGGTATTAAAGACCTTTCACGTCTCTATAATGCATGGGATCAGTGCATCAACACTGATGTGAACTGAATCTAAATCTAATATATATTGTGCACTGATGTCAGATGTTTCCGGTTGACCCACTTTGTTAGTTTTAGTTATATTAAATTAAATTTCTGATTGGATTCACCAGGCGATTCGTCTGACGGCAGCCTCGTCGTTTTGGGATGTGGGGTAACATAAAGGGCCGGAAAGTAAACATAACGTATAACATCGATCAAATAACTGAATAACCGGAGGGGAAAAAAACCTAACCTCTAATTTTACAATTCTTTACCTACCACACTCAACATGTTTTGTCGATGTCCCATATATAAGAGTTTCGTGTGACGACCCATGCATAGTCAGAAACCGAGAGAACCATCGATCTGTGTTTAAAGTGGACGTATTTATGATCCATCCTGAAGAACTATGATGCTTGCACATGCAGGCAGGCCCCTGGTTTTGGGAAGTAGCGGTAGCGGTTTCGCTATGCTGCACTGCACCGGGTCTCACTGCTATAAACATTACTAACAAACAAGACAAACTCGTTTGTGGGACTTTGGAATGCACCAACTTGTTTCTTGTCCGTCGATCATCCTCACTTCTCACCACCTTCTTCTCATATCGTTTTTCAACACACCGACCCCATTTTGTTGCAACATGATGTCTCTTTTAACCTAACCTCCTCCAAACTCCCCACTATATTTTATATTCTGGATATTCACAGAGGTTCTGATTCTATATCTTTATTATGTCATGCCCACCATGCAATTTGGTACGTCCGAAGTTGTCGGAAATGTGGATTCGTTTATATATATATATATATATAGTATATGCGATGGAACGAAACCAGCTAGCCCTTAATTTCATTTATCTTATTCTTCCCCGTGTGTCTGTGTGGAAGACAACGTTCTCAATATTGCAAAAAAAATTTCTCGATGCGTAAAAATTAACAAGTCATGCATGTGTTTCTGCGCCTGTGCGTGTCTATATGTATAATATTAGGGCAGATTTAAGGCAGAACAAGTGATCCTCGATCCTCCAGCTATAGCTGGCACATAGGTCTGGTTAAAAAATTGTCAGTTTGATCGTGCATTCCAATATATAGCTTTCGTAGCAAAGAAACCTCAGATTTATAATTCCTTTGTAGTGTAAATGTGTCCTGAGAAACAAGACGCACGAATTCTAGGATATACCATTCAATTTAAACATGGTGCTGCCTTATTTTTTTTCACATACCATGATCCAATGTATGTCATCAAAATAAACATAAGCAACGCGGAGAATGATGATCGATAGATAACAAATTGAAATTTCACCGACAAAGTGAGAATCTTTGAATAAATTAAAATACATCACGAGATGTAAAGAAATAAACAAACCATGGTTATTCCTTCAGGTCCTAAGTATGTAAGGGCAGTAATCGCACGTTCTCAAAAAAAGTGTACTATAATATTAATATTACATGTCCCAAGACGTCCATCGATCTTACTGGAAAGCATAATTAAAGATAAACCGCACATTTAACTCATAGGTACTGATGTCTTGTTAAATAATTGCTTAAATTAAATAAATGAGTTGAATTTTTGTGATTAGGTAATATGAATATAATTTCTTTACGGAATCACGTATTTGATAATAAAAAACAAAATCATCGCTCTTCTGTCTTTTCTATTTCTAATCCAGGAAAATCATTGTACTTCATGTCAAGGAAAAGTGGAACTTAAGCCTTTAATTTAATCAATAGAACTGAAAGAGTTCATTGTATCTGGTGAGGGGGGGGGGTAATAATATTATTAATTTAAGCACCGCCAGCTTATGTATACAAGTTGAGTGGACAGCGATGAACTGATCAATTGATTGCGTTACTGCAATTCTATACGCGGATATTTCAGCAATGATGCATAAAGACAGCTTGTGATACCCAAAATTACAGTTAGGGGGTGTCTGTGATACACAAAATTATTTGTTAAAAAAATACTTTTATATAAATCAAAACAAAACCATTTATACATACTTACTTAATATATTATAAAATTATTTTTAAAATTATGATTTAGTTTTTATCTAAATACCTCTTAATTTATTTAACGAAGAATGTACGAACTTTTATCGGCATCTTTTATATCTTTTGAAATGACGGGACATGTACGTTGCATGAAAACTTGTGTAATAATAATTTGAATTATGATTTATAAATGTCACTATTTGTCATCAAATTTAGGATTTAAGTACATCTTTGTCTTGATTTTTTCTTGGGTCCAATTAGCACCTTAATTAAACTATTAATCAGAGCATATTATTTCTTGTTCTTAATATAAAAGTTAGTTGATTAATTTAATTAGATTAAAATAATTAGTTAAGCTAATTACTTATAATAAATAGGTGTTGTCTTTTCTAAAATATCCTTACTAATCAAGTGTCATTTGATGAAATATTTAACATGTACAATTATTATAAGGACTATCTTTGAAAAAATGAATAAATACAAGAGACAAAATAAATTAGAATATCATCATATTTAGGACCAAAATTAAAAATCAAATTAACTCTTATACTAAGGACATGAGAAGCATATCTCGTGTCTAAGTCGGGGAGAATTAAACAGTACTACCTTCAGTTCTTAATATAA